GTAGTATATATTCGTTTTCTGGTTATTTTCTTCTTAAAACAAAGTAAAATCCCTAAAATCCAACTTCTGATGTTTAGGGCTAATTATTTCAAAGTGCTGTAAGAATCCAGGCTACTATTAGTGTAAAATAACACTAATGAATGGAACAGTCACCTCAGGGAGTTTAATCATCCCACATACTTCTTCAGCATGTCCTGGAGGATGGAACAGTGGCTTGGTCTGTGCTTACTGACATTGCTATGCCATAAAAATGTGTGAGGCATTTGTGGGGAATAAAGATTGTATTTCTGACTACAAAATCATCCTGGTAAAAACCCTAAGGAAGATACAGCTTTCATGACAAAAGTTCTTTGGACAATGTAGTCTGTGTTCTGGAAACTGCCACTATTTTGTGCAACAAAAGAGCTCTTCTCTTACTGTAAGCAATATCCCTATAAGATACTTTGTCAATAAAACTACATTCAGCATTTGTCTATATTAAAGAGTTTGCTGTATGTTTGTGGCAAACGAGCGTGTGTTTGTTCACTGCACTTCTGCTGCAAATACTACCCCAAGGCTATCACTTGATCCTTTCTTTAAAAAAGAAACATCACTTGCCCTTATTTCTGCGCACAGCATGTTGCCGTGTATGCTACTGGAGAGTACTAACCCACACTGGGAGGGTTAAGTTGCATTGCACTGCTTGCGCAACCCACTTAACCCAGGTGAGTTGTCTTTTCATTTCTAGGGACAGACACATTTCACGTGTGTGTTATGGCAGCCTACTATAGCTAGACCTGAGCAGCCAAGACAGCTGTATCCAATTCAAGGCAGTAAGTTGTCAAAGAGAACTCAAAGTGTATGCAGATAAAAGTGAATATAGTTACACAGGAAACCGAATGCTGAATAAATTGCTGTACATTCTTGGTTGCTCATTAGGTCTGCTTATTATAGTCTTTAATGCCTTATTTGTCTGAAGACAGATGTATGCAAAACACAGGTAGTGCAAGATATATTCTGAATGGATTTTAGATTTGGTTATTTTGATTTACAGATGTCTTGACTATTGCGGTGTGTTGATCATGAGTATTCTAAGGATCTGTATATGCTCAATTTGTGCAGGAAATAATCTCAAATATAAATAACAGTAATTTAGTTTAAGTTTTTGCTTAAATGTACATATGTACCTTTGATGTTTTGTGACAAATAGGTTAGTGTGCCAGCATCAAAGCCAGCAGCAGCAAAAGTCTGAAGTATATGCTAAACATATATGGAAGAAGTATCTGGTACTTTCTAGTCCATTTCTCCTTTTTGTTGCTGGAGACAATGAAGCCAAAGTTCATAGAGTAAACATAAAACTAGAAAAAAAAATTATGATGTAGTGAGCTTAGCATAAGTAAATGTTGCTGTGTTAATTGATATGCTGAAGATGGACAATAGAAATCTGACAACTGCAACTTTTAACTCTCTAAAGTAATTGTTAAATTAAAAGATTTCTCTGGTACTAAGGCAGATAACAGACATGTAGCCATACCATGTAATTTTTCTACTCTTTCCGAGTAGTCTCATGCTAGCTCATTAACACAGAAAGAGACAGTTGTAAATATTTGGCTCAAATTCTGATTAAATTCTTAAATTTAAGCATAATTTCAGTGTTAAACAGTCAATGTTGTTACACTGAATTAACTTCTCACCTCTCTTTCCATGACATATCTTATACCATCATGTGCTTAACCTTTCTCTTGTCATGGACAAATTTAAGTCTTTTTACCAAGAGGAAGAGGCCTAGAGGAAGTTGGAGAACTTTGTTGCTTGTTTAGTGATATAAAAGAAATTTGAGAGCAACAATGTTTGGAAACAAATCAACCAGCCAACCAGTGCTAATGCCCCCCTCCTAAGGTGTTTGCCTGATTGACTGTGCCTAATGACTGCTTGTGAGATAAAGAAGTTGCCAGACCTCTCTTATAATACTAAGTACCTCAAATGTAAAATAAAAAGTGTTTTTTTTTTTCTGTTTGAGGAAGATATATTGCTTATTGATTCCTAAGCTTTAAGATTTACTAATATCATATGTGCTTGTGCATGTGCACTGGGAAACAGTAATGTGATTTTCTTTTTTATAGTGCTATGAAAACATTCCTGGTTAACAGGTTGCAGCGGCTGTAGACTCAGGCAGAGCCCTTGCAGATTTAGCAGTGGTAGTTTTACAAGTTACAGTCTTCTTGCTGGGTGCTGATCTGTTTATATGCTTAGTGTTTTACATTGTATATTGCATTTACATGGCAAAGTTGGGAGGTGGGGGTGACTGCAGGGGTGGCCTTTGTGAGAAGAAACCAGGGGCTGTTCCCATGCTGGACACAGCCAGTTCCATCCAGCTCTAAAATGGACCCACTGCTGGCCAAAGCTGAGCCACCCAGTGTAGCAGGTGGTGCCTCTGTATTAACGTATTTAAGAAAGGGTGAAAAATGCTGCACAGCAGCTGTGAGAGAGAGGAGTGAGAAAAATGTGAGAGAAACAACCCTGCAGACACCAAGGTCAGTGAAGAAGGAGGGGAAGAGGTGTTCCAGGCACTGGAGCAGATACTCCCCTGCAGCCCATGGAGAAGACTATGGTGAAGCCGGTTGTCCTGCTGCAGCACACGGAGAAGGCCATGGTGATTAAGGTATTTCTCTGCAGCCCACAGAGGACATGCCAGAGCAGATATCCACACTGCAGCCCTTGCAGGACCCCATGCCGGAGCTGGTAGATATGCCCTGAAGGAAGCTGCAGCCCATGGAGAGCCCATGCAGGAGCAAGATTCTGTCAGGAACTGTGACCCGGGGATAACCCATGTTGGAGCAGTTTTTGCTGAAGTACTGTACCCTGCGGAGAGGACCTGTGTAGGAGCAGGGGAAAAGTGTGCAGATGAAGGAGCAGCAGAGATGGAGTGTTATGAGTTGACCACAATCCTCATTCTCCATGCCCTCTACACCACTTGGGAGAACAGATACAGTAGAGTTGGGAATGAAGGAGTGAAGTTGAGCCTGGGGAGGTGGTTTTAATTTTGTCTTTGTCTCTCACCATCCTACTCTGTTTTTAATTGGCAATAAATTAAATTCATCATCCTCGAGCCTGTTTTCCCCATGACAGTAATTGGTAAGTGATCACACTGTCCTTATCTTGACCCCTGTGCTTTTCCATCTTATTTTCTCCCTGCTGTTGTGTTGAGAGGCAGTGAGCGAGTGGCTGGGTGGGTGTCTGGCAGCCAGCCAAGATCAACCTACCAGGCGTTGTGAGAAAACAAAGCATTTTTTAATCCAGCAGTTTGGTAAATTGACTGCAATACTTTCACCAGGAAAGAACGTTTTTATTCTTAGTCTTGCAGTGTATAAGCACCTGTGTTGTAGTACAAATGTTTCAGCACTAAAGAAAAATGGGAAAATAATGTGTGAGACAGAAGTGGACTGGATTTTTTTTAATGGGTTTTCTTGGAAATTTTGTGAGCCTTGTGAAGCACGTTTTTGGTACCTTTTAGCATCTGTATGGCAATGCTGTAATGAGCTTTCCTTCTGCATTCTTCTAACAGTAGCTCTATGGTAAAACTACTGTGGTTTTGAATGTATGAGTTATTAAAAAAAGCTGTCATAAGCTTTGAAATATATTATGATGTGAACAATTCTGGATGCTTAACTTATCCTGCAAATTCTTGAAGGAAACCAGGTGAGGTTTTTTTCTGTTTTCTAAGTTATATTAAAAAGTTGTATTATTTATATTTATATTATTGTTATACTAAAAAGTTATATCTTTTCCTGAGTATATGTTATTCCAGTTAAGAAATGCAGAATCTATTTGTATATCAAAGAATGAAGTAGAAAAGTAGATTTTTGCAATTCTGTAGTCAGTAGTTAGCAAGTGGGAATTGACTGTGGCTTTTATCTAGATGCTGCTTATTTCTTTTCTCAGTTCACATACATGCAACGTACACAAATATAAAGCTGTGTTTTGAATTCAGGCTGGTTGCTATATTTCCCCTTCTTGTAAACTGCCAATTTTGCAGAGAGAATTTAATTCAAATCACTTGGATTCTGGTAGTCCTCAAATGTTTTTCATAGTTCCCCATCTTTGAAAGCCACTGAATAATTGCTTGTCTGTGAAAAAAATAGTGGCAGAGTTCCTGAAAGAAGAGAGCTCTTTGACATGTTCTCTTGATGAGTTGCAGCAGCGCATGCCAGAAAGTGCAGTACAAGTGAGTGAAAAAATATACAGAATGATTACTTGATCCTCAGGCTAAATTAACCTACTCCAAATTACCTGTATTAAATCTGCATTGAACATGTATACTAGATAACGAAATTAATCTAAAAATTTCCCACTTGGAAGTCTGATTACTTAAGTCTAATCTTGAAATGGAAGGGGTTTTTTAATTATTGGCAATTTCCAAATTGTTGAAATAAGTTGAGAAGTCCTTCCTGTCTTCATAGTTTGCTTTTTATGTGGATCTTTCTTACACACAATTTCAACTTACTGTATTGTTTCCAACTGTTTTCCTTCTATCTCATCATTGAACTAAAATTCCCTGCTTCTAGAAGACTTAAAACAAGACTTTCCACTAATTTTAAACAACTTAATTTTCAAGATTTGGAAGAAAATGAATGTGAAGTAGTAGCATTGTGTAGAAATAGTGTTTTATTCTTAGTGGTATGCCTGCTTTCTGGTTCTTCTATTTGAAGAGTATTAAAAAAACCAAACCAAAAAAACCCCACAAAACCCCACGAAAAACCAGGGAAAGTGCATCTTGGGTATCTTATAGATAGGTTTGACCTATCTTTAAGTGATGGACACATAATGTTTGACAGTTGGGAGTTGTGAATTAATTCTTGCCTACTATTTCTTGTGGTTTTATGTTGTTGAATATACTAAATGTCTAAGTTTATACTTTTTGTTTTAATTTACAGGTTTTATAATTTCAAGAAATGCTGTGACCTATTTGAAGAACATCATTCACAGAAACTTTGGTCTTGTGATAAATTTTTAAAACTAAAATGGCTTTGAAAAAAACACCTAAACTATTCAAGAAATTATTTTTTCACTGGAAACTTTGGAAATGTAGCATTATTCTGTTTGTCTTTTTGGTTTTTTTATTTTTATTACAACGAGAAGTCAGTGTTCAAGATTTTAAAGATGAAGCAGGGATTGAGCCAGTTGTTGGAAAGAAAAGTCATGTGTTAGGTCTCATGTTAAATGCTATGAACAACATCAAAGGTGCAAAGCCAAAAATGCAGATAAAAGCACCTGTTAGGCAAACTAAGATTCCTGGAGAGAGACACTGTTTGCCAGGACACTATACTGCAGTGGAATTAAAACCCTTTCTGGATCGACCCCTTCAAGATCCTAATGCTCCTGGAGCTTCTGGTAAAGCATTTAAAACCATCAACTTAAATTCAGAAGAACAGAAAGAAAAACAGCGTGGAGAAGAAAAACACTGTTTTAATGCATTTGCAAGTGATAGGATTTCTTTACACCGCGATCTTGGACCAGACACTCGACCTCCTGAGTATGTTGAAATGTGTATGTCCTGGTAATTGAACAACTTGTTGGAAATGCAGACTGCAAAGTGATTTGAGTTCAGCATTAGGCGATAGTTTAGGAAAGTCTCCTAGCTATAATGACTGTCTGTGCATAATGATCCATAGTGCCAAAGCCAAGAATGTTTAGAAAGGCTCGCTTCTTTCATGGTTTTGAATTCAAAGTAACTATATTTAAATGAGGTTTTCTGCTTTTGCCTTTAAGCTACAATTTCTGAGTGACTTTCTGGAAGCCTGCTAAGTTTTACTTAGAAGAAAACTAAAATTTTTTAGTATTTAGTGTTAATAACACAACCAGCATAAATTAATAAATTAGGATTTGTAAACTGTTGGACAATGGAACATCTCAGCAATATTGAAACATTTTATTAACAAAGACTGTAGGACTTGGGTAGAGCGGGGTTTGGTTATGAGCAGTCTCTGTCAGTGTCAGATTATATGGTCTTGGCCGTCTCTGTCAGAAGTGACTAACCTTACCGAGCGGCTGCTGGTGGTATGAATATCATGTTACATGTGGTGCAGCTCACAGTAACCTTTGCTACAGCACAACTGGTGAGTTTTCGCCTGTGTATTTTGTGAGGCAATGGCTGTGATAATTACCCTGGGGAGTCTTCCAGTCTCTAAAGTTGACAGGCAATAAACAGTAAGTGTGCAGCTTGTGAATACAAAAGTGTTGTCTTGTCATCTTGACTTGCAATTGGATTTAAAGTTTTGTTCAGGATATAGCAATCTTGAAAAACTGTGGGTTTAAAATTATTTCCCTTGAATGGGATATGCTGCCCTAAGAAGTATATGGTATTTCTAAAACATTTTGAAGTTCTGAATTAGATCTGTTCTGTTTTTCCTTGCAGACTCTGCATTCTTCTACTAAATATTCTTCTTTGTATTTTTGGGTTTCAGCAGTAATGGTGACTTAAAGTCTGATTTTGCAGCTGAGTATCTGCTGCTGTCAACAGAATAACATATTTTTTTCTGAAGAAGACCTGGGTGCTGTATGACATACACTCAGATGTTTGTGAGACAGAAGCAGAACTGAGTCAGTTGTTCAAGTGGAATTCTTATTCACTGTATTTTTTAAAAAAATATTGCTTCTTGGATAGAAAGTGTAGCTGAAATGTTTAGTGTCCATACTTATAAAGCTTTGTACTAGAAAGAGAAGGGTTTCTTTTAAGAGTTTGAGTCAAAACTTTTTGTCCATGTTGTAACGCTTGACACTTTCTAACCTGCAGATGTATTGAACAAAAGTTTAAGCGTTGCCCGCCATTGCCAACCACAAGTATTATAATAGTTTTTCATAATGAAGCATGGTCCACTCTGCTCAGAACTGTTCACAGCGTCATGTATACATCCCCTGCCATACTGCTAAAGGAGATTATTTTGGTGGATGATGCCAGTGTAGATGGTAAGAATTCTTTATATTTTCTATTTATTTGTTTTATTTTTTAAGACATGTTAGGATTGCAGATAAATTGGTTAAAAGGGGATCGCCCTTTACCACAGTTAACATGTATAAGGGTATTCTAACTGGTTTTGTCCATTCTTTTTCTATAAAATATAGAATAGTTCTCCCCCATCTTATTGTCACAAGGTAGTCAAATACGAAATTCTTGTCTCCTACAAGGTTTTTAAAGCCCATTTCTGGTTATTCTAATTCTAGCGCTGCTTAAACTGCCTAACTGTTTGCATGACAAGTAGCTCTGTAATTTGTGCTTCAAACCAATTACGGTTTATAGAACAAAGTATCCAAGTATAAATTGGCCAATGCTTGTAGCAATTTGCATTTTATCATAGTGATTGTCTTTATGCAAATTAATTTCATTAAAATGAAGGGCGATGCCTTTCCTATAAAGAAACATTGTTTAGTGGAAAAATAATCTTCAGCACTCAAGCTGACTGCCAAAAATAATGGAATGTATACCAAGTGTAATCACAAATGCAAGTTCAAAAGCTTTATGTGCTTAACTTTAGATGAACATGCCTATACATACATGCTTAATGTATTTACACTTTTTGCAAGTCTGTATTTAGCATAGTGAGACTTGGATGTGAAGTATGTTCAATAGTACAGTTTAATACTAAGGACGGGCAGAGGAAGGAAGATGATGTGGGATGTTTAATGAGGGATGTGGGGTTGTTTCTCAAATTGGCACATTTAAAGAGTGTTTTGTATAGCTTCTGTTGCTGTTGTAAATATTATAGCCTTTGAAAAATGTGTGTAAAATGGGCCGTCATTAAGAAAAAATGTGCATGTTCTGCAGATAACTTGAGTAAGTAGGTACATGATCCGTGTGCTTTGAAAATGGATTTTGAATTGGTACTCAAACTGTTAACACTGCAGAAGAGGTGTACTAGCATATGCCCTTTCTCTTTTAGAATATTTTTAGTGTTCCATCCCCTGTTCTCTGACAGTCACATCTTCCTATGCCCCCATCCCCAACAAAACTCAGCCCCTAAAAATAACGTTCAACAGTCAGGAAACAGTCAGGAATTGTCTACTGTTTTAATGTTGAGGTCATTCCTGGGATTAGTGTGAATTGTTTATCCTGTTAGTTTAATACAGTAAAATTTTAGGCAGTGGCATGTATATACACTGAATATCCTGAAACTGATTTCTCTTTTCTAGAATACTTGCGTGATAAACTAGATGAATATGTGAAACAATTTCAAATAGTTAAAGTAGTCCGTCAAAAGGAAAGAAAAGGTCTAATCACTGCACGGTTGTTGGGAGCTTCAGTAGCAACAGGAGAGGCCCTTACCTTTCTGGATGCTCATTGTAAGTGTAACCTGTAACTATGCCAGGTGTGGTCTGTAACTGTTTTCTTTGATTTAACATTGCAGATTTTTTATAAATCATGAACTTTAGCAGTGTATCATCTTTCCTATTGCTATTTCATATTATTAAAAGTATATTTAGCAATGCTATTTAAAAGCAGTGCCTATTGGCTTGCTGTGGGCACGTTAAAATATTCCTTGTGTATTACTTCATAGCCATGTAAAATTCAGTGCTTGTTCCCATTTTCTCCATAGGTGAATGCTTTTATGGCTGGCTAGAGCCGTTGTTGGCAAGAATAGCTGAGAACCCTGTTGCTGTTGTAAGCCCTGATATTGCTTCTATAGATCTCAATACTTTTGAATTCAGTAAACCATCTCCTTACGGGCATAGCCACAACAGAGGAAATTTTGATTGGAGTTTGTCATTTGGATGGGAGTCTCTTCCTAAACATGAAAATAAAAGAAGAAAAGATGAAACCTATCCAATTAGGTAAACATAATTTGAATTATATTTTAAATCCTTCAGTTATCATGTTTTTTTGTTATGAACAGCAGTTTGTAAATGAACTAGTTCTTCAGATGAGCATGATCAGAACTCTTAGCATCTTAGATAGGTTTTGTAATACTTTCTTTAAGACCCACATTGTAAATTTTAAAGCTTTCATATCAATATAGCCTCCTTAAGATGATAATTGCTCTGCATTAACTTTTTTCGACATACACTAGGAACGTAATAAGCAATTTCTATATATTCTTTTTTTGTCAGGAGGGAGGGAGGTGAGGAGGTTTATAAACAGTTCCTTTTCAGAGACGGTATCACAGATTCTGGCTCCTCATTCATCATCCTTGAAAGGATGATGACAAAGGTTCAGAGCACCAAAATACTAGACTGTTACATTGGTGCATTTGATGATAATTGTATGTGCTTTGGCTTCAGACAGGTTAATCATCTGGAGGAGTAATAACTTTGCTTGATATCCTCCATACAGGGAAAATGTGTTATTTTTCCTGATGCTGTCTTTTAAACCAGCAGTCATTAGTCTAAACCAGTGGTTAATAAATGAAAATAAAACTGTCAAATGAGACTCAATGTGGGCAGATTTAATTGCTTTTGAAGTATTATCTATGCCAGGAAAAATGTATCAATGTAATGAAACACTGACAAATGCATGGAAACTTCCTAGAACAGTTATACCATGTTTTTACATCTATTTTTTTTTTAAAAAAAACCCTACCTATTTGAATCCTGTCTTCCTCAGTGAATTTCTCATTTTGCAGAACACCTACTTTTGCTGGAGGTCTCTTTTCAATATCAAAAGACTACTTTGAACACATTGGAAGCTATGATGAAGAAATGGAAATATGGGGAGGTGAAAATATAGAAATGTCTTTCAGAGTAAGTTTAGCTACTTAATTAGGAGTGGTCTCTATACCAGCAGTGTACAGGATTCTTGAGGAAAAATTAGTATTAGATCTTGACTTCTTTGCTGAATCAGCCAACTAGTACATGGGAAATGAATTACTGATGACCTGTGAAATAAAATACAAACACACTCACTGAACTGATTTTTATTTTTTTTTAAATATTTTAGGGTTGATAGCTGAAATGTGTATTTTCAGGGTTTATCTGATTAGGAAGTTCATTTATAGTATGCCTGATACATGCACTCTTGCTAGTGGTTTGGATTTTTTTCTGGTGAACAATAACATTGCTGATTTTTTTTCCCCCCCCTTAATTCTAATTGAAGTGCACTTACACAAAAAATGTTATTATTAGGTATGGCAATGTGGTGGACAGTTGGAGATCATGCCTTGCTCTGTTGTTGGCCATGTCTTTCGCAGCAAGAGTCCCCATACTTTCCCAAAAGGTACTCAAGTGATCACACGTAATCAAGTCCGCCTTGCAGAAGTCTGGATGGATGAATACAAAGAAATATTTTACCGAAGAAACACAGAGGCAGCAAAAATTGTGAAACAAGTAGGTGGTGGTGGTGGTATTAGAAATGACACTTGCTGCGTTGAAAGTTTTGGTGAGCAAAAGTTATTTATTGACGAAGTACATAAGGATTCTAGATATTTTAATGAAAAGACAGAGTTCAGTTTGCTTAATGCTGTGGCCTCAACAAACATGAAAAACTTAAAGTTTTTGGGTGGTGATCGTGTTCGTTTTGTGTAGTGGGTTTTTTTGGTTGGTAGGATTTTTTCATACATTTTCTAAAATCCTGGGTTATTTGCATTGAACAGCTACCGGAACTACCAGAAGAGCATGAGAAAAGCTACTGAGCATAGAAAATGCAAACTAACTTGGAGTGAGAAATGTAATATCTCATTAGTCTCAATTTGCTTAGTATTTTTAGTTTAAAAGTAGGTTTTATTGTTCTTTAGCTTCAGAATAAAGCTTATTCAGTGATATGTATCCATCTTGTCTCTATATGCTTAAAAACTTAAGTTAAATTCAGGGAGTTGCTGGTTTATTTATTTTTGTAAGTTTTCTGGAACTTTGGTCTTTCACCAGCTGGAATCTAGAGTTTTCTTCGAGAAGCTATTTTTTTTCTCACTTTGTATGATAAATTTTTGAGAATATTCTATCACTAATAGCATTAGATTTCCTAAGCATGTTTAGCAGCTAGACAGCTGAACTTTGTCTGGAAGATTCTGCATTGTACTGATTATTATGCTAATTATTTAATTAATCCAATTCATTATTTCAGCTCACTCTTTTTAGTGAGATCAGTTAGCTTTATAGCTGTCAGCCATATGGACTTGTTTGTACTTTCCCACTTCATGGCACTGTGTTAAAACCCTCTTGGGACTAAGGACACTTCTATTCTTTTCATGTTGCAATGTATTTTTCTTGCATGTGCTTTGAAATGCTGCATGCAGGGTGTCAGTGCTGTTATGATCCTGAAAAACAAACAGCAGTAACTGTATTAAAAACAAGAAAATAATCAACGAATGAGGCTTAAAACTCATTTAATGGTACAATACAGAATATCATAGATTTGTATGTCCAAAACTGATATTAGTAACGTTACTATATTTCTCTTCCATCCTTCCTTACTTCCCTTCCTCTAACAGAAAACATTTGGAGACATCTCAAAAAGACTTGATTTAAGGCAGCGTCTGCAATGTAAAAACTTCACCTGGTATCTCAGTAATGTTTATCCAGAAGCATATGTTCCAGACCTGAATCCTTTGTTTTCTGGATATGTAAGTTTAATTATTTTCTATAGTCTTCCATAATCCAGGAAGTTTGCTAATCTTTTCTGCTACCTTAGCCATAGTGTTTACATTTCAGCTATCAATTGTTCTGGGGTTTTCTGCCACTACTCTGGGCAAAGAATCTCTTCTGCATACCTTGCTATTTGAATATTTTATAGCTTTGTCAATGGTGATGTGAAATTTAAGCAAAGCTTAACAATGAACAGTAGCCTTGCTTAATGGGATCTTGCAGCCTGATAAGATAAGCAACATTCTGCCCATCACTAACAGTTAAAATGACACAAAAGTATTAAGCCAGTGGTAAGAGATTTCCTGAATTATCAAGGTAAATTTGGCTCTATATAGTAAGTCTGAGAGAATTTTTAGTTCTTGTTAATGTGGAAAACTGGACGGCTGTTTGCTTCTCAGAGTTAGGTTTATGATGAGGAAAATGTGTGTTTACAGTGATACATAAATTTTTTTAAAGACTATTGCATTGCCTCTGCCAAATAACTTCTTAGACATTGCACTGCTAAACCCAACAAAATATTAAACAACTATTAATTCTTAGCTTGAGGTGAATGTGAACGTTTAGCAATGCTTAGCACTTCCCCTTCCTCCAATTTTGAGTATTTTATGTGTATCTATTAAAATTGTAATTGAATAACAGTAACCTTGTGTACCAACAGCCTAATAATTCACAGTGTGTGGCTGTGGATAACCATAATATAGTTACTAGGCTTTTGGTTAGAAAAGATTAACTCTGAGACACCAGGATTTTAAATTTGAGCATAGCAGAAAGTAAAAGATTAACTAACAGCTGTAATTGTTGCTAAGCCAGAGGTCTTTTATGCAAGTGAGACAGTTTAATTTTTTGTCATCCCCACTGAGCTCCTTTCTTTATTTTTTTCTGATAACACCCTTTCTTTAGTTAAAAAACATAGGTAACCGCATGTGCCTGGATGTTGGTGAAAATAACCATGGTGGCAAACCATTGATTATGTATTCTTGTCATGGACTTGGAGGAAATCAGGTAAAATATTTGATACCTGATTTTTATGATCTGTTCAGCTGTAACTTTACCGTATTAAAGCTTTTAATTAATTTTGGAGAAATTGACTCATTTTTAATATGCTTTTTTCTCTTTCTTCCCCTCCCCCGAGAGTTAACTCCTATATACATATATTGTTCAAGGAGAATTTCATACTGTTCTTCATGTTGTGTCCCACATCTAACATTTTATGTTCAGCATACAGATTCAGATTTTAACATAATTTTACTGCTTCAGTTCATCTCTCCTTTCTGTGCAAAACATTTTCATCCTACCCTTAATACTTTCTTGTAAATGTTTTCTTCTTAATTCTTCCTTTCCTTATGCTTCCTCCTATTGCTTCTTTCTCTGCCACCAGGACACGCACTGTCAAGGAAGATGTTGGTGGAAATCCAGCCAATGGGAGACCAAGTGGCCAGGCCTGAGCCACCTTCCCTATCATGCTTACAGCCTCATAGTGTGAGGTCAAAGTGGTCTATCCTGTACTGGCTAATGCAAGTGAATAATATGATTGAATTTGTCCAAGAAGAGCTCTCTCTGATGCATAGCTCTTGGAGGCAGCAATGGTGCTCTGTTTATTCTATAGTATGACTTGCAATAGATTGTCAGATACTGAATTCTTCAGGCACTACTGTAACACTAATAAAAGTAACATCTCCTTCCCTGCCCAGAAATGAACACTTCTCTGTTGCCTTAAAGAGTTATTTGGGGAATAAAGTTTGTTAACTGTAGATCCTTAATAACTAAAGGTTAACAAAGGTTTAAAAGTTTTTGTTGGTATATAGTTGCAACTTTTTTTTTTAATAAAATCTTCAATCTTCAAAGCCATCCATTGATGATACTGTGAAAACTCGGACACATGATCCTCGTTAGTTGATGCTTTCCTAATCAATTTTTGTGGGAGATGGAATACTGTCTAGATTAACAGCTGCCCTGTTAACGTTAGCTTTTTACAGTGTTGAATTTTTTCTTTTAGTCTGTTGTAGATTAATACTATATTAGCCTTTTCTTATTGTCACAGTCATTAATGCGGGAACACTGTACCGAGACGTTGTATTAAGAGGTCTGCTGTATGCTTCTATTGTCATCTCTCTCTAAATTGTCTTGGACTGTACTAAAACTCTATGCTTTCAAGTGTTGTGGTTTTTGTTTTTCCTCCTGCCACAAAATAAGAGTCTGAATCCATTTAAATGCCAGCCTTCAGAGAATTTTAATACAGGTTGTGCTGGTAATGCTCAAGAGGTGTGCGTATTTGCTTACTTAAACTTTCTCATTAAAATACTCTATTTTCAGTTGTATTATGTTTTTTACCAGATTTAGCAGTGTAGGCTGATTTTTTCCATGATACCTGTCTTCTTCATCCATATATTTGAGATAGGAGAAGGGAGTGGAAGAGATTGTGGAAGTGGAAGAGTTTTCAGAGTTGTACATCAATTGTTTATCATCCTTCCTTTTAGAATATTCTGGGGCTGGGAAAATGTCCATCGCAATAGCATCTCAATATCCAAAATTAATGAATTTTTAAACCTAGCTTTCAAGTTGTATTTTTAGGGCTCGCAGAGATTTTGGAGTTCAAAAGATAAATCAGAACAGATTAAGTCAGATTAACAGATTTATATTAAATTATTATGTCTGAGAGCTAAGTGGTTAAGCAGGTCACTCCTATCAGTACCTGTTTCAGGGAGTAATGTTGGGCACAGAGACTTGAAAGTGAGATGCCTGTTAATCCCTCTGTGCTATTCCCGTTGATGCCAAGGCAGTGAGGAGGCGGAAGCTGACCAACTGGGCAGATAGTTGAAAGCTACAGGGAGCTAACTGAGCCTGGTCTTAATAGTCAGAGGAAAGATATGGTGAAGAAGGCTGACATTTGAAGCCAAGAAACAGTGGTAATGGGATGTAATGATAGGAACTCTGCTGTTTAATGAGGGAGAAAAGGAAGAGACCAGGATGGTAGGGTAGGACGAGACTTACAAAAGGACAGCTTGTGTCTGTAACTGTTAGAATTAAATCCCTATTAAGATCTGATTTATAGCCTAGGATTCCTGAGCCTTAAGAGTATTCTGCTGTCAGGAAATAATGGTAAAATTCCCTCACAAAATAAATGCTTATATTACTTTTCTAATTGATAGCTTGAGAGAACATAACAGCATCGTATTGTTAGTGTTTATTGTTTAGATAAAACAGCAAAAGCTGACATAGGGCAATTGGTATTGTTCCATGTGACAAATTTTTGGGTTTGCTTGCTAAGAAAAAACAAAATCCAGCAACAAAAATCGAATACAAATCTTTAAATGTAAGCCATGCCAAAATTTAAGTTATTCATGCACCTAGCTCTTCAAAGTTTGTCTCTTTGAATTATTTATGATTCCTGGGGGAACAAGCAATGAGGTCTTGCATCATAATGCATATGCACTGTCATTTGCAATTTTTACATTTAAGTACTTCTGAATTTATTTCATTGCATTAGTATTGAAAATGCTTTTAATTTTGTAAACGCTTTTAAAGTGTGTATGCTAAAAATCAGAAAAACTATTCTCTAATCTCAAATTGTGGAATAACAAAAGAGGGGTTAATTTAGTTTAATACTCTTGTTTGTATTTATTTACTGAAATTTTAAAAAATTATTTAAATAGTACTTTGAATATTCTGCACACCGTGAAATTCGACATAACATTCAGAAGGAGCTTTGTCTGCATGCTTCTAAAGGACCCGTGCAGCTTCGCGAATGTAACTACAAAGGCCAGAAAACCTTTGCCATTGGAGAAGAGCAATGGCTGCATCAAAAGGTATTTAGACTGCGCAGTGAAATGGCATCTTATCAGTTATCTTTTATATGAGTTAGTTTTTAATTTCCAATAAAAGAGAAAACCCCAGTGAAACACAGCTCCGAAGCCAAAAAGGAGTAAGTTTATTTCTGGGAGGAAAATGTAGATCATTTCAGCTTTTCAGTTACCAGATCAAAACTTGATGATTTCACTATTTTAAATGTGAAGTAGAAATGTCACTTACAAAACCAGTTGATAGCTTTTAGTGTGTGTGTCTGAGCATCCACCTGGAAGTCAATCCAAATTTTCTGTATCTTTAAAAATATTTTTTAAATTCCTAACAAAACAAGTTGGCACTTGCATACTACTCATAGCCCCTCTCTGCACTACCTGTATGGCCTTACTCTTTTTAACAGCAATGAACTTGGGGGAAAAAATGAAGAGTGGGGGGAAATAGCATGCTCATTATTTGTTCACTTTCTTTTTTTCCCTCCTTTTTGCCCACTTTAGGATCAAACTCTGTACAATGCAGCACTACATATGTGCCTTACAGGAAACGGAGAACATCCAAGTTTGGCATCCTGTAATCCATCAGACACCTTCCAGAAGTGGATTTTCGGCCAGAACACTTAAGATTTGATATTTGTAGGCCAGGAGCGTTTTATTAAAAGAAAAGATCCATTCTAAATTGTGATCATATATGTATACTGCATTTTTAAGTGATGCATACTTTAAATGCAAAATGTCTAAACAGTTTCTTTTCCCTCTTATTTAAGTCGGATATAAAATGTGTCATCAGATTCCCTAGGAATCTGTTATACCAAAGATGACTGAGGTCCCAATTAAGAAAAATGTTTACAATATTTCTATGGTAAGACTTTATATGTTGACCACTGATTCAAGGATTCTATAGTCCTCTTTCACCTTGGGGACTGTATGTATATTGTTTTTCCACGTATTGTAAGTACTTCTGAAGAAGACTGGTTTTCTCTGTAGAGTTTAGAGAAATTATTGTATACTGTCTAAAATCCAAGATGCTTTATATGTATATTTTTATGCTCAATTGGTTGACTTTATTTTTTTTAATCATTTATTTTACTCACTGAACCTTTTTCAATGTTTTTTAAGTTCCCTCACTTGAAAAATTAAATATTTGATCTTCAGGTTAAAGCCAAATAGGCTACCACACTGTGCTCAGCTTTTAGCAAGTCATTTCTTCTTTTGTAGAAGAAAAAGAAGTGATTCTTGCTGAAATATGTCTTTGTGATTATTTTAATGGAGAATCTGCTTATTCTGATATTAATCTCCTTTTATTTAGCCAAAAATTTTTGTATGGGTTTTTATATTTCATTAACTTTAAAACTTATCACAAAGTTATATTGTAATAGATTTCTGAGCTGCTTAACATTAACACACTTTTTTCAGCATTTTGTTCATTATTGCTTTTAAATTACGTTATCTACTAAACCCACTTTTTTCCTACCTTTTAGTGATTTATGCAGTTTTTACCTAACAGGTTCCTAATGTTATCTGTACATAATTTCTTGTGCAAACACTTGCATGTTGTTTTTTTTTCTTGTTGTTGCTATTTCCCCTTTTACAAAGGACTGACCTGTTTTATCAGTCCAAGCAAGACCTTGGCCTTCCTAATGATTCTGCTAGCTCTCTTAATGAAATATTGCATTCTTGTAAGCATCCACAAGTGTACTTCAATAGATCATGTAGCGATGACTTCATAAATAGCCTTCCTTTGATTAACTATTTAAAACTATATGTCATAGAATCATAGTATGGTTTGGGTTGGAAGGGACCTTTAAAGGTCATCTAGTCCAGCACCCTCTGCAGTGAGCAGGGACATCTTCAACTGGATCAGGTTGCTCAGAGCCCCGTCCAACCTGACCTTGAATGTTTCCAGGGGTGGGGCATCTACCACCTCTCTGGGCAACCTGTTCCAGTGTTTCACCACCCTCATCGTAAAAAACTTCTTCCTTGAATCTAGTCTAAATCTACCCACTTTTAGTTTAAAACCAGTACGCCTTGTCCTGTTGCAACAGGCCCTACAAAAAAGTCTGTCCCCATCTTTCTTATAAGCCCCTTTAAGTGTTGAAAGGCCCCGCAATAAGGTCTCTGCAGAGCCTTCTCTTCCTCAGGCTGAACAACCCCAACTCTCTCAGCTTGTCCTCATACAGGAGGTGTTCCATCTCTCTGATCATTTTTGTGGCCCTCCTCTGGACCTGCTCCAACATGTCTTTCCTGTGCTGAGACTCCAGAGCTGGATGCAGTATTCCAGGTGGGATCTCACCAGAGTGGAGTAGAGGGGCAGAATCACCTCCCTCGACCTGCTGGCCATGCTGCTTTTGATGCAGCCCAGGATACAGTTGGCTTTTTCTTCATTTATTTTACTGGATGCACAGTTTTTAAACACCCTCCAGTTAGTCTTCCATTGCAATCACCAATCATGCCCATTTTCTGACTGTGATTATTTCAGGCCTTCTTTAATGAAGGTAGCTCTTCTGCATAAGAAATGTCCTCTTTAGGAACAGAGATGTACACTTACTTGAAAATGTCTACTTCAGTGTGTGAATGTGAGATTAATGACCATCCCACCCTTAAAGCATCTAAGGTCACATAAAATTGCACTTTTATCAGATAAACTCTATTTCATAATAAAATTTTGTATGCTGACTTGGAGAAGACTTAATTAGTTTATCCAAAATATGGTGGTTTCAAAATAACCTTAAATTTACATGTGTTATGATATGGGAGAAAAATGGCTATGAAATTAAAATAATAAATTTCTAGGAAGGGAAGAAGCAGCAGAATAAAGACAAGGAAAAGACTTACTGTTGTCTAGAAGTGCCAGTGTTGTTACTAAGTAGAAATGCGAAACCTCAAAGGTAAAATGTACTTAGATTTTGCAGCTTGTCGGAAGAATTGTGTTGGACATCTATAGTATCTATTCAAATGGAATAAAATAGGAGGTGTAATAGCAACCAGCTTAATAATGAACTCTTTAATGATCTGAATTTGAAGCAAGGTGCACATAACAGTTGAAAGTTGAGCAATAAGATCAGGCCTCCTAGTTAGATGCATCTAGTAACAGTACTTTAGGAAATGCTTAGTATTTCCTTTAAGTACTGTACTCATATGATGAAGGGGATTAAGGAAAAAGTCATGGCTGCCAAAAGGAAAGAAAATTCAAATTTTTAAAGTGAAGACAAAGAAAAATATTTGGCTGCATGATCAAACATAAAAGCTGAGAATAAATCTGAAGAGGTGGATATTAAAGGTTGAATAGGACAAAATACACTGGTATTAAATTTGTCCTTTTGTCCTGGTAAATAAATAATATCATTACAGATAAATGCTAATTTATCTATAGAGATGGATGGATGGATGAGTGATGTGGGGTTTTTTATTTCTAATTGGGGGAGGGAGCCTGTCTGTGGTTAATTTAACAGTATCTGACTAATGAGTTCAGCTTCTGAAGAAAAGCAAGAAGAAATCCTTTCAATAGTTCTAAGTTATCTAAAAGACAAGAAGTGAATAAGCAAGACCAGCAAGAATTTGTCAGAAGCATTAACTTAAGCTTATTTATTTTTCTGGCTTGGTAATCATGCCTTTGAGTCATGTCTTGGCTTTTGGTGATATCTGCGAGAATATCCTATGAAGTTAAACCTGTATGACTTAAAATAACTTGCTACAGTGTGGACATAAATTGTAGAAAAGACTGTATGGGGAAGGGTTATTAATCCTGCTGTGGAACTGGAAGGCTGTATCAAATGGCATTGCACCAAGATCTGCCTGTGCCCTCTGATAAATATTTCTGTGATTTCCATAATGGAACGCAACGTATTCTTACTACTTTCTCAGATCAAACCAATATTGGAAGGGTAAGAAATGCTCTTGACAAACTGGAGGAGTTGAGGAAAAATAGGATGCAGGTCAGTAAGAAAGTTGTTCAACAAGCATGAATAGAGGATGGGAGACTACATAGATAGCAGCTGTGCTGTGCTGTTGACTTCCAGAAATGAAATGGAAACCGCGTGTTCAAGGAGCCTGTCCTAGAAGAAAAGGTATTTAGCATAACTGTTTAAAAGGACTTGAGTTCTTTTTGTTCCTAGTTCATGTTATATAGCGAATGCATTATATTATTTTCGATACCACTAAAGGATAATTTCTTCATGCAACCTGTTTCTCTTACAAACTTGTTGGATTGGAATTTGCATATATGAAACATGATTTATCTACTCCTCACCAGTTTTTATTTTTAGAGGTAACATTCAGAACTGGCATAGAATTTAAATTGCGAGGAAACAAGGGTTCTGTTGCACTTGCAGGTAGGAATCTCTTAATGAGCAGTTCAGTGCTAGAGGAGCTCCACTCTGTCTTTTTTGTTTTGCTAGTTGCTAATCCAAGACCATATTATAGCAGATACAGCAATATATGTACTTGTCACTCTGTTTTCTGTGAAGATTAGGTATAGCAGGTCACCTAGGTATTATATTTTGTGTTCAGTTCTAGCTGTGGAAGGGGAAAATGTATTCTGTGATTTAAAATTCTTTAGTATTTTCCTTGCATTTTTGGGGATGGCTTTTCTTTTCTAACATAGGTCAATAGTCCAAAATTCATAAGACACTTGAACATAGGCTTTTTAATGATCGTTACTATTGGAAACACTCTAATTTTTTAATATATTTACTATCTGTTCTTTAAACTATGAGTGACATTTTAGTCTGTATTTGTGCAGAACTTAGTACAACAGCAATTCAGTCTTACTTGGACTCCCTACTACCTGCCAGAAAAGAGGGAAGCAGATCTATAAACAGGAAGACTTTAAGTGACTTTTTGTTCTGTTCTGTTCAAAGATCTGAAATTAACGTCTGTGTCTACCTTGAGTATTGCACATCCAAATATGCATATATTTCTGTGTGTATACATAGATAGGTATCCTACAATTTTAGAAGAGCAATAGGACATCTGTAAATATGATTGGAAGTTTATAATTTTTTAACATTAATTACATTTTTTTAAAGATTCCTTTTTCAAAAGCAATAACAAAGCAGCAGACGAAAAAAAAGCAGGCAGTTCAAATTATTTGTTATTGTGCATCTTCTCTATGCTTTCTAGCATCGGCCTTCAGTTTTTCCTGAAAAGTAAACTATTTTGCAGGGTTTTTTTAGAGGGCAGAAGCCAATGTTCTCCTTGGCATACCTTACTCCTCCAGCATGGTTCTCTTCGGTAATTATGGTACATTCTACAATGTAACAGTAATGCTTCTGTGCTTTATTTTTTGCTGTTTACATTTCTTTAAATATGTTGAATTACTCTGAGAAATACACGAAACTGAAAGAACTTGTGGATGATACTTCCCTTTAAAGAATAATCTCTCACATTTTGGGAATGAGTCATATAATTTTATGTATCTGATTATATTATATTAGATTGAGATGTAGGGGGCTTGATTTCAGTGGCTGAGTTGTCAGAACTATAGCCAGTCCTTTGAACTTCTTGTTGCATGGATCTCCTTCAGAGTTGTACCTTCTATCAAATGTTCCAAGGAAGGGACATTTAATCTTTTATTTTCTGTACTTCAATGTACCTCCTGAATTCTTCCAAGTAGGGATTTCATTGCTAAAA